CGATCAGTATCCAATGTTAATGTTTTCAAAAATTAAGTGGCATAGACAGGCACAATTTTATCTGACACTTGATAAGTACGCTATTATTCAAGACGACATGCGATAAGCCTCCATATAAGACATTAAAGATATCGTAATCATTTTGTTATTAATTATATCATAATTCTCGTACAATGTGCGATACAATATCATGGGAAAATCCCCCGTTTCCTTTTTATCAATTTCCTGTGTTATTTGTCATGTAACTGCTTTTTAATCACATTCTTGATGAAGAATTGAACTGCAAATGGTATAACAGTTTAGTTTGAAAAAAGGTAACAGGTTGGTCTTAAAATTATTACTAACAATCGATAAGACAGTACGCAAGAAAAGATGGTAAAATTAACTATGTATCCAAAACCGATTGAAGGTAATGTAGCGCCCTAAGTATCACTGGTCGATAACTCATTGGTACTCCAACTAACGATCATCGCATTACAGGTTAAACGCTTGAAATAATTTATTCTGCATATCTTATTACATTTATATGCACATTATATGGAAGTATCGTTAACATCAAATTAATATTTCATAAATAAGGATTGGGGGTAAGTGTAAAATCTCACCTGATATTTTTAAAGGAAAATTTATTATCATAAAACTTGATGAAAAACCCTTCATGATCAGTTATTAGTTTTGAATAACAATTGTTCCTGCCATTCATGCACATAGTAATCGCTTAAGCCATTTAAAGCTTCAGAAGAAATTTCTTTAAATCAAGGATAATCATAGAATCGGAAGGAAAAAATTAACATTATTATGAACAATTAAGGAATAATAAAATAATAGCCTAATATAAGATGTTTTAGTCTTTTTTAGAAGCCACAGCCTGTTTGGCCTGATGAGCCTGCAATACAGCTACGGCCTCCTCAACCTTGGCTTTCAGCGATTCATTATGCTCCAACATGTGCAGGAGCTCTGAGTTGTCGATTTCCAACAACATTCCAGTGATCTTTCCAGTAAGTTGCGGATACATACACTGAATCAGCGGGAAGAGACGCTCTCCCAACATTTGTTTCTGCTCTTGCGGCGGAGCAGCTGCCAGCATCGAGGCAGTTAATGGTTCTTGGCCTTGAATATGCACAGCTTGCTGAACAGGAGTAGGAGTAGGGATTGCCATTGCTTGTGGTGGATTGCGCATGTTTGAAGTGTATTTGTAATTTGACGGACGGCTTTGAGCTGAAACTCCCACCGCTGAACCAGGCATAGAACGACTCTGCATATTTGCACCGCCCACCGCTTGTTGACCTACGAACAAAGATACAATAATTAAATTGATCTACAACGATTAAAACGATTGTATTGTTTCAACTTAATCTTGTAAATCATACACAGAACGATAATTCAGTTTACGTTACCAGTAATAGGTCTTGCAGACAACGTATTTCTCATAGTACCAGCTTGAGCAGTAGGAGCACGTGGGGCTGTCCTATACGGAGCTTGCATCGTAGCAAAACCAGAACTTCCAGTTTGTGCATTGGGTCGTACTTGATTCGGTTGCGCTGGCCAGCGTGGTGTTGCACGAATCTGTGCCATCTGTGCAGGTCCATAAAATCTTTGCGGCTGTGGAATAGTGGGAACGAAATAATTTCCAGCACCACCAGGCTGGAAAATTTGACCCATTTGTTGCATACGCATATTTGCCAGACGTTGCATGTATTGCGAAGCAAGATGCGCCTTGCGATCTTCTTTGCGCTGAGCCAGAGCAACATATAATGGTTTAGTAACTATTATACGACCGTTCATCTCTGTAACAGCTTTGGTGGCCTCTTCAGGTGCTGAGAAACAGACGAATCCGAAGCCTTTACTACGGCCTTCTTCCATCATAACTTTAGCCGAGGTTATTGTTCCGAATGGTGCAAATTCTTTACGTAACCTCTCGTCGTCTATACTGTCATCCAAGTTCTTTACGTAAAGATTTACACCTTGATAACGATTTAATCGTTCTATCTTTAATTGTTCAAACTTTCTCTTTAGTTCTTGTTGACGCTCTGCCTTCTTCTGCGCCCGTCCAACGTACATACACTTTCCTTCGGCAACCTCTTTACCGTTTAATTCAAATACTGCTTGTTCAGCAGCGTCAGGATCTTCAAAAGCTACAAAACCAAAGCCTCGTGATTTTCCGTCATCTTTTATCATTACTTTATGACTGGTGATGGTCCCATATTTTTCAAACATTTCTTTAAGTTTATCATCTGTCATATCTTCCCCGAAGTTCTTCACGTAAACATTGGTGAAAAGCTTGGCTTTCTCTCCCAATTCCTTTTCACGTTCTTTACGGGGTATGAATTTACCAACATACACCTAAAAATAATCAGTAAATTAGTACGAAGCGTGTCAATGATTTTTTTTATAATGGTAAAAGAAGTTAATAATAAGGTAATACCTTTTTTCCATTTAGCAACATGCCATTGACTTTGTCAATGGATTTATTTGCTGCCTCTTCAGTTTCAAAATGAACAAAACCATAACCTTTAGAAACACCAGTTTCATCTTGAGCCACTTTGCAACTAAGGATGTTACCAAAAGCAGAGAACGTGTCGTACATTGCTTTATTGTCTATGTTTTTATCTAAATTTTTTATGAATACGTTTCCAACACCAGATTTTCGAAGGGAAGGATCACGTTGAGACCACATAATACGAATAGGCCGCCCCTTAATCATATCGAAGTTCATAGTATCCAATGCACGTTCGGCTGAAATACACAAATAAATTAAGTAACAATTCCCACGTAGGTTTTAAATTATTTTTTAACGGCTCCTTATTTAAGTGTACATGTTGTAGATAATTTTTTCAATTTATAGGGTTAACACATTATGTTAATTAACTTATAATATAAAAATGATATATATCTTAACTTATCTCGTCTTGTCACACTTATCGTCATAAATGATAAGTGCAATTTATATCGAAAAGTTATAAATATCGATATAACGTTAATTTATAAAACATATTCTGCATACATTTCGCGCATTACTATACATCATAAATATTTATCATTTTCGCATAAGAAATGTTACAGTAAATTCCAGTAATTATTCTAATCTCTGTTTAAAAATAGGAGGTGCTGGATAAACGTTAATCTCTCTCAAGTGTATCGTGGTGTAAACATGATTAGGAAGTACTGTGCAGAAAAAACGAAGAAAGTTTCACAATGGAAAAATACGACGTATGACTCAATCCAAACCGTCACCACGATATTCTACTTTGTCCGATGTAGAATTCAATATGGTGGCATCGTGCGATGCGAAACACGTGTCACGCGCAGACAAACGATGCGACCGAGGATAACCATTGCGAATGATTTTGCGAATCTAGGTCAGAGTTATATCGAAATAATCGTGGAATACACTCACCGTCTGCTGGTTGCTGAAAGTTGACATAAGCATAACCGAGCGAGCGTCGGGTAATAATATCACGGCAGACGCGTATCGAGAGTACGGGCCCAGCCGACGAAAACTTCTCGAACAGCATCGCCTCGGTGATTTCCGTATGGAGGTCTCCCACATAAAGTGAGGCCATAGGATAATTCGGAGCTCCTGGATTCATTTTTTGTATTATTCCCACTGCGTGCGGCTTCTTAAACGTTCAAAAATTCTCTGGTTTTTGGTTTCTTCCCGTTTCTTCAATATGGCTTGCGCTCTTCCGACCACGTTGCTCTTCGTAACGCGTTGATTACTATTTTTTTCCACACTTTACTTATGTTTCACGGTTTTCAGCTACGGTTTTACGATTTTTTTGGTTTGTGTTTTTAGGAATTTTTATATTTTTTTTGTTTTTTTTTTTATAGAAGAGTTATTTCACGAATGGAGGTGGGTTGTGTGACCTATTTTGTGGAAAAAGGAGACACAACCACACGTGAACACAACTCTACTCTTAATGAGGAAGAGGCAGCGAAAGTAGTTCCCTTGGCGTTTATATACCAACCATAGAACGTTCGTCCTACGCCCAAAAAATAGTTCCCTTTACGAACTACGGCGCCATCTGGATATAGATCTAGGGTATTCTTTAAATAGTTCTATGATGAAATATGATTATCAACGTTCGTTCTACTCGTAAGACACCTTCGATACATTTTATTACACTTTTCCATTTTTTATATTGACCGCTAATGAATTTTATATCATCCTAAAAAATGTTGCCTTAATTCATTAGGAACATTTCGGAATGTTCCTATATGATAGGCGTTCTGCGTTACGGTTCAAATACAGGGTGTCTCAAAAATTTTGGAACTCCTTGAAAGGGATGATTCGGGAGGTGATTTGAAACAACTTTTTCCTTAGCGAAAATGTTGTCAGAGGCTTTGTTAAGCATATATTAACAAAAAACACCGACCAATCAGAGCGCGCCTGTACCGTTGGAGCGCCCGCGGTAGCGAAGGCTACGCGCTCCGATTGGTCGACGGTAAAGCAGCGACTAGAATTAAATATATAGAGTGTCCCAAAAATGTTGGAACTCCTCGAAAAGGGTGGTTGGGGAGGTGATTTGAAACAACTTTTTCCTTAGCGAAAATGTTGTCCAAGACTTCGTTAAGCAGATATTAACGGAAAACCTCGACCAATCAGAACGCGAGTATGTCGATGGAGCGGCCGCGGTAGCGTATGAGCGCGGCCGCCTAGCGCGTAGCCTACGCTCCACCGGAATACTCGCGCTCTGATTGGTCGGATCTTTTTGTTAATATCTCTTTAACGATGCCTCCAACAACATTTTCGCTAAGGAAAAAGTTGTTTCAAATCACCTCCCGAACCACCCTTTTCAAGGTGTTACAACATTTTTTGGGACACCCTGTATACGCCACTATCAACGTGCAAATGCCTCGTTGTAATAATAAATAAATTTTTACACTCGATACTGATTTATGTTACAGATTATAAATAAATAATTACGGATTAATTAATATAGTTCCATTTTGTTTACTATATGTAAGAATCTGCTAGGGATTTATAAGTTCGCGTATTGACTCTGGTAGCTATAGCTTATTCGATCAAGGTTAGAAAAAGTTACTGTAATCGAACTGATGGAACAGTTCGAAACCGAATTTTAAATAAATTAGCGTTAAATAAAGGGGAGTTACAATATGTCATTGGCAATAAGACGTTTGAATCGTAAGTGAATGTTTCGTTAATAAATGTTTAGAGTTAAGAGGCACCCGAATAATTTTATTCTTATATAATTATATTATCTACTTTGCAGCAACTGCTTTGCAGAAATGGATCTACTCGATGTCTGGATTTAATCAGTATGGTAAATAATTGATATAATATTATAGCAACAAAGTAGTATATAAGACAAATTTAATAAATATTAAGTTTAAATTGTACGACTCTTTGTATTTTTCTAGTATATTCTGTAATTTTAGTTTCTCATGTTTTATAAATTTAGAATTATTATTATTGTTAGTTTTGTATTAATTTAGGTTTAATGCGAGATGATATTCTTTATATAACCCCCGAGGTGGATGAGGCACTAAGACGATTACCCAAACACCTGTTAGACGAACGTAATTTCCGGATCATCAGAGCCATGCAGGTAGATTCTGGAAGGAGAGTCTTACCAAAGGAACAGTGGACCAAATTGGAAGATGTAATTTCATTAGTTATTGGTACTTTTGTATTACTAATAATGCGCTATTACTAATTTCTGTAATTAAATAGGATGTGCTATACCTTCATCCATATTTGGAGGAAGTATTACAAGAAAAGGCAGAAAGAGAAAAATGGAATGCAGAGTAAAGTATAACTACTTTATAGCATCTCTAGTTTGTAACCTAAAAATATTGGTTGGTATATGTAATATATAAATTGAATAAATCATACTTATTGTTCAAATTACTATGAATTTTCTATGAACACAGTTAATTCATTCCAAAGCTTTTAATGTAAATTGCATAGATACTGAATTACGAAACAAATGCAACTCTGCTTTGACTAGGGTTTATATACAATCTGTGGTACAAAAGTTTTTATAGAAAAAAAATTGAACAAAAGAAATCTAAATAACCAAGTACGAATACGCATAACTCGAAGACTTCCTGTATACTTTTTTCAACTATTTATCTAAATTATTATTTAATAACAAGTATGTGTCATCATGAATTACATAAATTGATTGGCAAAGATTAAAGTTTTCTAAATCAAGTTGCTGAAGCGATGTACTTGAGAGTAATAATTGAGAGTCGCGGTTGAAGGCTCGATGCTAATGAAGATTCGTCTGGATGACCTTTTGTTTAACGATATATGTAGAAGCAGCCATGTGATTATTGGTAATTATGTTCGCATCAATTCGTAGCTCATTTAACACCCTTTATGCAATTACTTATTCATCATTCCCCCACGAGTATCCGACCCACGGTTGATGCGTAATACATTCCGACGAAAACGCGATGATATTAAAGAGAAATTCGCGTGGATAGCGAAACGCAAAGGTTGTCGATTGATTGTTTATCGATTCGCGAATAAAACACGTCAGATTTATGCTGCGGTAAACCACTTTTGTATTATACGTATAAGACAGTTTCGCGGGCAAATGGCGGATCAATATCTCACCCCCACGCGGATCTGAGCGGCATCCCCGGTTACCAAAGATTTACGCCAACTAATTTGAGTTTTGTGAGTGAAAAACTACATCGTCATCTTCCTCGTTTTCTCCTCTTGGCGATCGTTCGATTAATTTCTCGTGTCATCGAGTCGTACAATGACTACCTTTCACGAGATTCTTATAAGAGGAATTTTAAAACGTGAACCACACGGAGGATTGTGTGAAAAATGATGCAAAAAGTGGTAATAAGAGATTGTAATTTTAAGGAATATTTCATGTACAAATTTTATGTAACATGCTTGAAAGCTTTGCTTGTTCTAGTTATTTATTATTATTACTTTACGCCTAGCTCGTGAAAGTAGTTCATGTAGTCTTTCATAATAAATTGTCATCGTGTTTCGTACAACTTGCTCCTTCGCAACGGGTCTCGTTTTTTTTACAACGTATCGTATACGCGAAAAAGCAAATAAAATAATTGTTCGAAAGTCGATTTTATCAGGAACGTGAATTTTAATCAAAATAGGAAGTGTCAGTTACGTGAAAAGAGAGAGGGTAAGACCACCCCCTTCGAAATCGTGCGTAAGAAAATTGGCAAAACGGTTCAGTCTAATAATTAAATTTCGTTGGTGGGTGTTCAAGTATCCCTCGTTCTAAAGACGATTACGATGTGCGTGCGAAGGTAATTGTTAAACGAAGTAATTGCATTGCTTTCAAGAGATTTTAGTTTCTAATGCATCGACCAAAACTTCGAAGACGTGCGCATAGTATTTTAAAATAAGTTTGATTAATTACAGATGCCGGAAAAACAGCGATCAGCGTGTTTCCAAACATGGAAAACGCTGATAACGAGTTATTGTAAAATCGAACATCATACTTTACGCTTAACGCAAAGTAATATATTAAAAAACGTGTGTACACAGTAACTCTGTTGGATGCTAGTAAGCATTTAGTAACTGTATGTTAACATCAGAGAAAAACATAATGCTAAATGTATCGGGTGCTGCGCCAAAATACTACCTCTGCTACATGTACAAAGTTACAAAATTGTTTGTATTAGAAGTAAAATGAAGATATAAATTACATATATATACAAACGTACACGCGTATATGAATTTAAGTGTAAACAAAGAAATATATTCTGATGTATTAGTATTTACACATAAATGTATATCGGATTGAACCAGAAGCTCTTCCTAGATATGTGTCCTCTATGTATTACTTTCAAACAATATGGCAAGAAGACGTTTGATAACATCGATACTTTGACAAATGCTTGAAAGAAAGATACATACCAACAGCTCAAAAGGAATAAGTATTAAATAAATAAAGATGAGTGTACCATACGATGAAAACTTAGTATGGATAGTAGTAGTTGGGTTCTTAGTGGCCTTTGTTCTGGCATTTGGAATCGGAGCTAACGATGTCGCCAATAGCTTTGGAACAAGCGTTGGTGCTGGAGTACTTACAATATTTCAAGCTTGTATTTTAGCAACTGTATTCGAAATTGCTGGGGCTGTACTCATCGGCTATAAGGTATCTTAAAAATTAATTCATTTGATTGTTTCTTTATGTGTTATTCAAAATATATTAATCAATGATCGTTTTAGGTCTCTGACACAATGAGGAAAGGCATATTAGACGTGACATTGTACGAAGGCCATGAAAAAGAACTAATGGTAGGAGCGCTGTCTAGTTTAGCTGGATCTGGTATTTGGCTTTTACTAGCAACAGCATTACGGTTACCTATTTCTGGAACACATTCCATTGTTGGTGCTACAGTTGGTTTTTCACTTGTCTGTAAAGGTACTGCAGGGGTTAGTAAAATCATTATTTTAATAACTTAAGAATAACATAGTATACGTAAAAAATAGTAGCTTTAAAACATTTTAAAATGATGTCTTTATAATCAAGAAACGCATGACGTTATTCATGGTCTTCTTCTGATGTCTACACTCCTAGATGACACAATATACATACATAACTTCCGAAGAAACTCGTGTTTTGTCGTAAAAAATGGAACTAACATCTCCCTTCTCTATTTTCATAAACTTAGGTCCTATTCTAAATAAACTAATATTAGTTATTCCCAGTTTCAGCCTCCTGCGCATGATCACAGATACATACATTCAGTTATTATTATTATATGTACATAACAAAAATTGTCAAGAAAACATATGCGTTACTAATACCCACTGATACAACATGTACAACACCAATGAGTCTTAATTACTGTAAGTTTTGAGTTTTACAATGTCACTTCATCTATATCATGAGCTTCTGTATTGTCATCTAGATATGTAGACATCCGAAGAGAACCAGGGACAACAGCTGGAACATTTTATCTTTTGAACATTCCAAAGCTTAAAAATAAATAAGTATCATTCTACGATATAATGTTTTTATAGGTGAAATGGATAGCTCTTGCAAATATAGCAGCATCTTGGTTTGCGAGTCCTGTGCTTAGCGGAATTGTATCGGGTGCTATATTTTGGCTTCTAAGAAAATCTGTACTGCAATCTAGCAAGCCCCTAGAACAAGGTCTTCATATTCTCCCGTTAGCGTACGGTCTCACTGTTGCTGTCAATGTTATTTCAGTTGCACACGATGGACCTAAACGTAAATAAATTTTACAATTTTACCTTAATATACTTTTGCATTAAATTAAACTTAATACTATGCCTCTTGCATCTATTTTCAGTCTTAATGCTGGATAAAGTTCCATGGTGGGGTAGTTTACTTGCTGCATCGGGCTGCGGTTTGTTTTCAGCCGTCATTGTTTATTTATTTGTCGTGCCATGGCAAAGAAAGAGGATATTACTTTCGCTGAGTAGCAACGAAAAAGCAACAACAACGTTCGGTACCTGTGATAAAAAAGAAACTACAGCATTATCTGTTATTTCAGAAGCTCCGCATAATAGTAGTAGTAGTAGTAGTAGTAACAATGGCAATACAAAAGAAGCGGCGCCGAAATTACGTGGTAATAGCAGCGCTAGTCCTCTTTTAGTAGCAGCAGGATCGGATACTGAGGGTGTTCAAATCGAAACTGAAAGGAAAAACGAAGAGCCGCCGGAAACGTCTCAACTATTCGCTTTTTTGCAAGTACTGACAGCGGCATTTGGCAGTTTCGCTCATGGCGGGAACGATGTTAGTAATGCGATCGGACCACTAATTGCACTTTGGGCTGTGTACGCGGATGGATCGGCTAGACAAGAAACAGAAACTCCATTGCTTATATTACTTTACGGTGGTCTAGGAATATCAACTGGTCTTTGGGTATGGGGACGTAGAGTTATACAAACTTTAGGACAAGATTTAGCACGCATTACACCAACAACTGGATTTACTATAGAGGTATGTGTGCTTAATGAATATAAAAGAACTTGTCCTCTTCAGAAGTCCATCAACTTTGCATGCAGGATCCTCTATTCAATGATATTCCTGTATGTAGAGCTCGATGCAATTCTGAGGGGGAGAAGGTCCTGCCATTCTTTTGTTAGTTTATCACGTTACAGATGAAATACTGATTGTAGGTAGGAGCAGCAGTGACAGTTTTGTTGGCAAGTAAGGCTGGTTTACCTGTGTCAACAACACATTGCAAAGTGGGATCAGTCGTCTGCGTGGGGTGGGCTTCGCGTGGCGGTGAAGGGGTTTCATGGAAATTATTTCGTAATATTGCGTTCGCGTGGTTGATCACTGTACCAGTGGCTGGCTGCTTGTCCGCAGGATGTATGGCTGTTTTTAAAGAAATAATTAGTTTGTGATTTCACTGTCAGGGCAACTAAAAAATTCTAGTGAAAACCATCCAATGTCGTCAATCGTTGTCAATAATTTATTCAAAAATAAATAATAAAATATTATTCAGTCTGGTTATCCTTTACCCGTTAACGATACAATTATTCAATTATTAACGAATCAGTTTTTTAAAAGATAGTAAGTACTATTACATTATAAAATTACTGTTACATCAATACACGCTGACGTTGTTATAGAAACGGATTCAAACAGCTTCTTTGACAAGCCACTTAAATATCGTTCCACGGAAATGTCTTCCAAGTATACAATTCATTCGATACTTTAATAATCAATTATGGAAGACCTGCCGCTTATACCAGGTTACACATTTCGGGATCAAAATGTGAGTTAAAATTAGAAACAAATTCATTATTTCGATATCGTATTCGAATGAAACTAACGATGAATTCTTTTTGAAAAGATCTGCGATTTTAGATTATTGCAAAAATTTCATTTTCTGAACGGTTATCGCGTGGTACGCGATAGCGATTTTGGTGTCGGAGGAAGACCAATAGATGCTGCATCTACCGCATTCATAAAAGATACACCCATCGTAGAGTAAGTAATAATAATGAACTCGATACCAGTTTCGCTAAAATTTAATTATATAAAATATTCAAAATCAGATACGATCCATCTTTAACGTATGGCCGGACGAAACAATACCCGTATCGTCAAGTTATTCCGCATTATGCGTTATACGCGCAAAAGTGCCTTTGCTTCAAAGCATTTTTCCGTCAAGGGGTATTCAACTCGCCGGACGAACACTTTCGGATACGTCATGTGAACATAATATACTTTTTGGAGGACAACACCCTCACCGTGATAGAGCCCTCCGTCGACAATGCTGGCTTTCAGCAAGGAAAGCTCGTCAAGCGTGATAAAATTGTGAAAAATGTAAAAGGCGATACATTTTACTGGAAGGACTTCAACGTTGGGATCGACGTATGTACGTTTGACGAATATATTCGTTGCAATTTTCGGTATCTCTTGTTAATCGTTTACTCCTTACAAAATAGTCTTTAATTAACACTAAACCTACTATGAATTTTTAAACTTTTGTTTACAACTCTTATATATAATATACATAATGTATGCTTTATGTATTATTAAATTTAGGATCACGTGAAATATTTCTGCATTCAATTGAACAAAATTTATTTAAGATCCATCATTAGGTTTAGTGTTAATAATTGTATTTAAAAGGAGAATATATGAAATTTCTCTCTTCCAATTTGCTCTGCAATTCGTTACCATTACGCATTATTAATTGCAGGTATTCATGGCGTGGTTTATCATATTATCGACTGCGATTTATTTACCAGAGAGTTTTTAAACAGTCAAGGCATAGATGTGGGAGATAAGGAGGAACCCCCGGTCGATCCTTACACGTTTCTTCGCGCGTCTAAGATGAGGACACCGACGCACATCACACAGATCCCGGATGACGCCAGGCGTCGATTTTTGGAGTACGATAAAATGGTGTTAACGTTCACCGCCACTTGGAACGAAGATACTTATCAAATAATGTATTTCCTAACGGACGACACGATAGCCGTGCGCGCGATTCAGAAACCTAACTGCGGGAAAGATCCTGCGTCGATGTTATTAAAACGAATGAAAGTACCGAAAGACTGGAAAAATTTACCGTCCTCCTATCCAGCTATATACTTGGAATGCAGCGACTCAGAAGTTGTCGAATACTATACGCCAAAAGATTTCGTGGTGAGTCTTGTGGCAATTTATACACTGTTCAACTTTAGTTAAACTTACACTCAACTGTGTGCAATAATCGATACAAAACATGTAACTTTTATACGCGAGGACACACATTTTCAACCGTGTAGAATTATTTTTATTAATTTATTATAATTCCGTCTACCATTGCAGATCAGGGTTGCGACTAATTAATTTCCGTCTTTAATTGACAATTAATTACAAACAATGTAATTAAAAATTATTTAATTAAAATTGAATTAAGCAGAATTAATCGAAAGTCGTTTAATTGACGATTGATATGAGCGAATTTAATCGAAGATATTTAAAGATATTTAATTGACGATTACTTTAAGCAGAATTTATTCAAAGCCATTTAATTGACGATTACTTTAAGCAGAATTAATTCAAGCTATTTAATTGACGATTTGTTTATATCTTTAATGTTAAAAGATATTTATATAAAATTTAACTAATTGTATAAGTAACACATATAAGGTTATTAGATGGATGCCAGATATATCCGGCGCTCGTACAGAAAAGATTATGCCGGTAATGCTAAATTTTTAGTATATTACTTTAACTTATACCTATGGTATATATTTGTTGTATTTTGTCGTGAATAAGAATAAGAATACATATTTGTTCTTATTTACGTTATAAATTATTTATTCATAGAATTACCTTAACAAATATATTATTATATATACAACCAACTCATTTTGATGAGGTTAATAGTATTTAGTATATTGCATTTGTCACTAGAAATTGGTTTATATATATGTTTATTTATATGTGTTACTTATATAATTAATTGAATTTTATATAAATGTCTTTTAACATTGAAGATATAAACAAATCGTCAATTAAATAGCTTGAATTAATTCTGCTTAAATCAATTGTCAATTAAATGGCTTTCAATTAATTCTGCTTAAATCAATCGTCAATTAAACGGCTTTGAACTAATTCTGCTTAAAGCAATCGTCAATTAAACGACTTTCGATTAACTCTGCTTAATTCAATTTTAATTAAATAATTTTTAATTACATTTATTCAAAATATTTATTAATTAAGTTGATTGAATTAAATTTGTTTAAATCAATTATTTAATTAAAAAATTGTAATTGATTATTATTCAAACCCTGTTGCAGATAGGCGAGACGATATTCATATTCAGTCGACGTTTCCTCCTGCACGATTGCGATTCTTTCACGCGGAAGTATTACTCTGATATGCTGGGAATAACGCAACCAGAGAGAATCCCCTTGCCAACAGAAAAATCGAAACCGATGCCAAAATATGTCCCTCCACCCCACATAAAATTTGGCACGCCAGAAGACACCTACGCCAGTTGTCTGTCTGTTATACCCAAACCACCTAAAAAGGACGTCGTACGACAGCTGGTTAATTTCCCCAAGAAGTTGCGCTACTCGATGATAATGGACGCGGTGCATCCCGAGGACAAGGATCGCGACTTCATCTTAGAGTATAGTTTAAGCGACGGCACGATGCTGGTGCACGAAATCGAGAAACGTAACTCGGGACGTCGCGAGGGGTGCTTTCTGAAATCTACGCTGGTTCCTAAGCCGCAAACTGGAAGAGACAATCCCGAGTATTACACTCCGCGCGACTTCTTCATTGGCGCGAAAATCAATATTTTTAATCATTATTTTATAATTTGCGGGGCTGATCTCTACGTATATCGTTACGTCGAGGCGAATCCTGAGAAGTTTTCCAGGGAAGTGCGAGACAATATTCGCGATTACTTCGTCAGACAGAATTTACTTGGCGACGATATAGCGGCCGAGGCGAAAAAAATACAGAACGCGGAAGAGGCTGAAGTTTACGCGATCAAACCGGCCGAAGCAACGATTGATCGCGATATTGATATGATCAATTGTTTAAATGATCTCAAGGCTCAAGCTGAATGTAAGTATGAAGGAGAACACGGCGAACTGAGACCACGTACACCGCCGCCGGAAGAACTGTGCCCAGGCTTAGCGACAGCAAACAATTCTGCAGCTCCTGGAGGTACAGAGACCTTAAAAAAAGATATAAAAAAGGAAGTAAGATGGAATGATCAAATAGAACACTGAAAAAGGTCTGTGATTATGAATGAGGTCTGAGATAAATGAATACAAAGTAAAAACTTATTACCTTTCTATGGCGTTTTGCGGACATGTATTCCTTGTCCTTTTTACCAGACCCTACTCTACTTCGTCTAAGGAGTCACGGGATAGATTGGTTTATTAATTATAAAATAAATACTTTAAACTTGCTCTGCAAAAAAAGAAATATATTCGTTGAAGTATAGTCGTCAAGTAATAAAATAATCTCCCTATTTCCTATGTTTTACGTTCTGTACTGTAAGAATCAGAAAACAATTTTGGTATTAACAGTTGTACTTACCAAAAAATTTAACTTTAAGACTTTTTTCAGACAGGTTCATTTTCATATTATTTTTATATAGGATTTTTATTTTTTTCCAATAACCTTGGAGACCTTCTAGGTATATTTTTTGGCATGGGTGTGTGTGTGTGTGTCGACTACGGTAATACATCTATTTCTCAGAACTCTAATATTTTCATTTGACCTATCTGTTTCCTCTCCAATGTTTATAGGAATTTGCTTTTTTCTTTTTTTTTTCTATATGAATTATTACTTAATTGCATTCCTTGTAATGGTGTCAGAGCTTCTACTTTCATGTCGATTTTACATGAAGAATCGTTAACATTAAACATATCTTCAGGATGATCAAAGTTGATACTATTTATTCTAGGCAATGCTGCGGCTAAACTCGTTTTTGTTTGTGTTTCTTTATCAACTGGAATACTATTATTAAATTGTTTACTTGGTTCTGTAATATTATTATTAAGTGATTCATGATTCTTCTCTTTTTTTTTCTCATTACTATCTTTATCAGATATGATAGCTTCATTTGTGTCATTTATATCTTCATTGGATGATACATTTATTGTATAAGTTTCACTTAAAGTCCTTAATCTCGAAGATGGGAGCACAAATTTACTTGCTACACTGGGTCCCATACTATGTGGGTCAACTCGTTCAAATAAAAGCTCTTGCTCCAATCCTGCTGGAACCTTAAATTTATAATTAGCTGGAGCAAAGGAATGCTTCTCTTTCTTTTTACTTTCTTGTTGAGCTTTCAATGCCAATCTTTTGAGGGTGGCTTTTGTAACACCTTTCGGAGACATAGGTGGTTTTTCAACTTTTGGAATATCTTCGCCTTGCTCACTCGCGAATATAACTTATGGTTTACTGGACCAGCAACAAACGCAGGCCTTTTCTTCATTTGTTCTATTCGTTTACGTTCCTCGTGTTTAATTTTCGATTGTAAGAGCCCTTTTGCACATGTTTTTACTGGATCGGATGTTTTTATTTCTGTAAACATAATCAAATAATGTAAGTAGGCACTCACAGAGATTTTACATACACAGTTTTACGAACCCAAGTTCTGTGATGCCGATGAAGTTAATTCATTCCTGTTTTTTGCAAATATTATATCCTTCTGATTTTTACATAATTCTTTTTTCCTTTCCGCTCGAATAGTTCGTCTTTCATTAATATCTCCAACAGGACGTTTATCTTTACATAGTTTCCGAGGAAATGACATTTTAATTCGTGTAATAAGTGTAAAATTCAACGCACAAAATTAGCATCTAACTGCCTCTCACTGCCTGCTCAACGTGGTTCAACGATAAAAAAGTAAACAAATTACGCCAAATACATGAAAAAGTAGAGGACTCAAGGAGTTATCATTGATAATTAATAATGCAATAGTGTAAAAACTGTTGACACTTGGCAGGTTATGAATGATGACATCCGTTTCGACTCCCGACGCTCGATGGCCGACGAGCCATGCCGAACCGAATGATTCCGAGAGTCGACGAACGACACTCGGGTTTTGCTTAGCTTCTATTGGCTAAGGGTTGACGACGGGAAAATCATATGAAAAATACCGTTTCTGACAGATTCATGACATGATATTACGATATCTCAGTTGTACGTGGACCGATTTTATTGATTTTGGTTTTATTCGAAAGCTTATATGCAGTTTACATGAGAAAAATGCCTTTAAATTTAGAAAATATTGCAGGCGTGTTGAGATATTCATGAAAGAAGTTTCAGGTTAGTTTGGAATGGACCATCTCTTCTGTAAAAGATACGTGGTAGCTTCAACGCCAGGTATATATACGCGGTGACGGATAATTTTTCATGTACTTGACGCCGAGACGCTACGCGTCTCTAGATAATGTGCAACGGAAAGCAGTTCGAAATTTACAAATTGACGTCGCAACAAATGTTACCAGCATGAAGACTGTATAACAGTGATGGGCAAAACCCTAGCATTCGAATAAATCTGAAGTTTGCTGATATGTTTGTCTCTTTTCCTCTTTCGAACATTTCCCAGAGAAAGAAACGAGACAAACACATCGGCAAGCTTCAGATTTATTCGAAGCCAGGGTTTTGCCTATCTCTGCTGTATAAGGAGATCCAACGCCATACGAAAGTTACTAGAAAACTGTTATCAAAATCCCGAGCTTTATATTTCGTCCACTCGCGGCGCTAGTGCGCACAGCTACATATATATGTCGTATGGGTATGTCATCATAATATATATATATGATCACTTGCGCCGCGAGTGGATGAAATATAAATCTCGGGATTTTGATAACAGTTTTCTAGTAACTTTCTTAGGGAGTTGGATCTCCTTATACAGTCTTCATGCCTATTACAGATCAATTGTAAACTCCTTCATGAGCATTCTATGCTTATACTATAGTTAACATTTATTATTTAATATAATAAGGTAATGTATATCTAAACGTATGGTAAGTTGAACTATTTTACGACAAGCTTGGACGTTCTGTTGTAGATGGCGCCACCAAACAGTCGCTATCCTTGTCGCACATCTCTCTGTCTCTCTCTGCTCTGCTCTGCTCTGCCTATCTTTGTCACCAAACTTGAAAAAAAGACAGCTATCCTTGTCCCACATGTTATTCTCGCTCGCACTCGCAGATCGTATATTTAAAAATTAGTTCGATTGCCTTTAATCCTCTCACCTGCTCGCACCACCTCCCATTCTTTGTGTTAAACAATGGAAAACATATTCCCCCCAAACGGCATTATTAAATGAACTTGGATCTATAGACATATCTATATACCAAACGGAGTCTTATTAGGAAAGTGGGGGGGCTATCATCCGAGCATCTGGATGTCTAAGCGTCGTTTCAAGGAACGTCGAGCCTGACAAAATGTATTTTAAAAGCTACAAAGAATTACCGAGGCCGTAGGCTGTCCTATCGCAACGACGTTCGTTGTGAGACGATAGTGTTTTATGGACTAATTTGCTCGCTCGTTTCGCGAAAATCGATAAAAGGCTGCCCGTACGAGGTGTTTTGGTTATGTGTGGGATCCCAAGCGAAAATAAATAAACTTGAACGCTGCGATGCATACGAGCTTTGCGGGGCAGTGGTGCTGTACCGATGGGTGATATTCAGTGATTAGGAAGTCGCAGTAAACTAAAATCCGCACGAATGTCAATGGAATTCGTTCCTTCGTGGATTGGTACGGCGAAGAGGAAGCACGGTCGTAAACGCAGGTTTAACGCGCCCCTCATCGAATATCAAAACAATGTCCGAAAGTCCTAAGATGGGCCTGTTCGGCTCCAAAGACGAGACAAACGGAACAAAAACAGAAGCCAAGGACGATTCACCTGACCGTTACGCGCCTTATTGTATCGACAGCGATTCAGAAACGTACGACACAGAAGCATTGAGCATCATGGATATCAATGATATTATAGGCGTTCAGTCGGAACCAGTTAGCGATTCCACCTTGGAGAGCGAAATCGCAGCTCTTTCTCAAATCATCACCGAATCAAAAACAGACGGAAGCCAGAATGTAACTGAAAACAAGTTTGAAAGAAAAGGGGAAGATACGTGCAAGGAACAAGGTGGTAACGATATTAAAAAACCTGTTACGAACGAACATTCGAACTGTGCTGAAGGAACAATTAGTGTTGGTGACATGGAACAGTTAAGTAAAGGAAATTCGCAGTTTAATAACAAAGATACTTTAACCGGGAGTGGAGAATTAAGCAGCGAAGGAAAAGACATTGATACAAAAGACAATTGTGAAACTATTATGTTAACAGACTCTGCGATTATTATGGATGTTAAAGATGCTGAAAATGTTAGGGTTATAAGTGAAACAGACGTTGGGTTTAGTCGATCTACCAGTGATTGTACTTCTGAAATTCTGAAAGTTACAAAGGAAGAAGTACCTGTAAATAAATCAGACAGAGATCAACAATGCAGTAATATTGTCAATGTAAACATAGTAAACAATGAAGTAAAACATGTAAAAAGTAATAATGGTATTCGTGGAAGTTTACAGCTGATTGGTGAAGCATATAGTTCAGAGGACTCTCAAGACACAAATGATGGCGAGCCAAATGAAGTAGATTCAACTGTTACTTCTAATGAGGAGAAAGAGGGAACAAATGATTCTAGGAAATCATCCGATAATGTAGATAACATTGCAAAAATGTGTGATAGTGTAAGTTTAAGTAAACCATGTACAAACGAAAATATTCCTGAAACTATAAAGAGTGAAGCAGATAATATGGAAGTTGATGCATCTAATTCTTCTATAGAGTGTAAACATGCAGAGGATCCATCTAGCAGTGTAGAAAAAACAGAAAACATTATTTCTACAGAATGTGAAGTAGGTAGCTCCAAAAATGTTATTTTAGAAGTTGAAAAAGAAGAAATTAATGCAGATCCAGCTGAAACAGACAAAAAAAAAGCGGAAGTATTACAAGGAGAAAAAAGTAAAATGGAATTAGAAGAAAACGAAACAATGGAATGCTCTGAAATAGAAGTAAATGAAAAGAATGTAGAACCTGTAGATGATACATGTGCTCTAAAAGATAAAAAATGTGAAACAGAAATTGTACGAGAAAGCACAGTAGTTGAAAAACATGAAACAGGAATGGTAGAAGAAACCATGAAAACAGAAATTGTAGAAAATGATACAGAAATAGAGAAACATAAAATAGAAATTGTAGAAGGAAACACAGAAATGGAAAAACATGAAACAGAGATTGCGATAGGGAATACAGAAACAAAAGTATGTGAAACAGAAATTGCAGAAGTTAATGCAGAAAGCAAAAAACATGAAACAGAAATTGTAAAAGGAAACACAGAAACAGAAACCATAGAAGAGAGCACAGAAACAGAAATTATAAAAGAAAACACAGGTACAGAAGTCGTAGAAGAAGTTACAAATATGGAGAAACATGAAACAGATAATGTAAAAGAAAACAAGGAAACCGAAAAACATGAGACAATAATTGTTGAAGAAAACACAGGAATGGAAGTTGTAGAAGAAGACATAGAAATAAAAATTGTAGAAAAGGACACAGAAATTGAGACTGTAAAAGAAAATGCAGAAATGGAAATTTTAAAAGAAAACACAGAATCAGAAATACATGAAAAAGAAATTGTAGAGGGTAATACAGAAACAGACATTGTTGAGAGTAACACAGAAACAAAAACTGTAGAAGAAAACACAGAAGCAGAAATAAATGAAACAAAAATTGTAGAAGAAAACACAGAAGCAGAAATAGATGAAACAAAAATTGTAGAAGAAAACACAGAAGCAGAAATAAATAAAACAAAAATTGTAGAAGAGAACACTGAAATAGAAAATGCAGAAGGGAAAGCAGAAACAGAAATTGTAGAAAGAAAATCAGAAGCAGAAATTTTAGAAGGAAACACTGAAATAAAAAATGCAGAAGAGAAAGCAGAAATAAAAATTGTAGAAGGAAACACAAAAGTGGACAAACATGAAGAAACTATAGAGTTTATGGATACACAAGATGAAAGTAGTGATTCAAAAATAAGTATACCTGAAGAAAATATAAAGAGCCAAGAAGATGAGGAACACATGCATAATTTAGATGTCCAAAATAATTTAAATAATAATAACACATTAAATACAGAATCAAATGATGTAGTAAATACAAATAATGATATGGAATTGACTCAAAAGGAAAATGAAATAGAAACAGAGTCTGGACAGACAGAAGATGAACCTAGAGTCAGTGAATGCCAACAGTTGGATTCACAGCACACAAAGGATAATTTAGAAGTATTGGAACCGTCACAAGAAAGAGAAGAAATGAATGTTGGAAAACTGGAAATTACAGAAGTGCAAGAAGATTCTTTGAAGCCATTAACCGATCAGTTAAACTCTGAAACAAAAAACGAGAGCCCTGCAACTTTTGTAGAAAATCCTACATTAGACTCCCAAAGCACTTCAAAATTGTCTTTAAAAACTGAAACTTTAGTTAATGATTCAATAAATGTTGAAAATTCAGAAATTAGTATGGACGTACAAACTGAAGATAGCAAAAACCAGAATGTTGTATCATCTGAAGCTGAGAAAACAGAACCTTCCGATAATGAATTACCAGAGGCAATGGAAACATCGGTTACCGAAGATAAACCTGAAGATGAACTGAAAACATGTACATCTGTATTTTCTGATACAACTTTGAAGCATGATGAACCAATGGAAGTTCAATCAAATTTAGATCTTGTACCTCCAGTAATAGAATCAGTGGCAATTTCAAATACTACAATACCTATAGATACTTCTACTGTCAAAAATGATTCTGAAGACATTATGAGTTCTCCAAAGGAAGATAGCGATAGATTAAAATCTGAAATGGAAGTTATAAATACAGAGTCGTCGAAAATTGATGAATGCATTCCTGAAGAGCAAATCAAAGAGCTAAAGGAAGTTCAGGATACAACGGTCGAAGAAATAGAAACTGAAGAAATTACGAATAAGGTTGATATTATTGAGCAGCATATAGAATCGAAAGATACAGAAATTCCCAATAAACAAGAAGATACGAATCTTAATCTTCCAGAAGAAAGTAAAGTTGATATACAAACAGTTCCAGATACAGAGGATACTGCTTCTAAAATTCTTGTAGAATATGATCAGTTAACTGAAACTGAAACAAGTAAATCAGAGAAACACGAAGATAGGCCTGATGAAGAAGATTCTGAACAGTTAGTCGAAGATAATATAAAACCTGTAGTACAAGAGGAGGCAGATGTAATAATGGAAGAAACGAAAGAATCTGTGGTTAACGAAGACCAAATTCCTGATTTAAAGTCCGTTATAGAAGATTCATTTATGTCGCAATCAGATTGTAAGAAGATTCTAGTACAACAAGAGAATGTAGAAGAGGAAGATACAGAGGAAGAATTGAATTTAACTTTAGAACCAGATGAAACTGATATGCAATTGGAAATTGATCAAAATAATCTCGTAGAAAAATCAGAAAAAGAAGATGTGGTAGATAGCATAGAACTAACTTGCAAAGAAGACGCACCACCATCTGCTGTAGAAATCGATGATGTTAACGTAGATTCGTTAAATGTAGAAAAGCTTGACGTTCTTGATGAAAATGCTGATAAAACCATAAACTTGGATAATACTGGCGATTCGATGACGATAGAAGATATAAACAAAAATCAAGAACTACCGAATAATAAACAGCAGTTAGACGATAGCGATTCAGACGGGAATACTTTAAAAAATATTTTAGAAACTAGTAGTAACGTAGAAGAGATGTTCACTGGGGAACAGAGTCAAAATACAGAGGACATCGTCAAAAGTATTCTGGACGATGATATCAGAAGCGCAACTGATTTTAAAAACATTCTAACCACGGAAGCAAGCGTGGCAAATGAAATAGAACAAGTTTTTCAACAGTCTGCGAATTTGCCATTGGTAGAAGCAGAAATTGAGGAATTATCCGAAAAGTTGCCGCACGATTCAGAGGATATTTTGAACAAAGATATGGAGGATACAATCTCGACGCAAAATATGGACTCCTTGGAAGGATTGCTTGGTTTAGATCTGATGCATGAAGGTGTAGATTCCACGTTAAAAACAGTGGAATCAGAAGAACAAACTCAGGAAGAAACAACTTCTCCAAAGGATGTTGATATGAGTCTCCTGTTGGAACAATCAAATGATGCTCCTGACGTCGTGCAAGCTTCGGATTATATAACAGACGTTATTAGTAGTTGTTTAACAGATAGCAATACACTGTCATTGGAGGATAATATAGAAAAAGCTGACATAGCTGACGCTATGAACGATAAAATTGAGGAACCAGGGGTAAGTAACATATTCAAAGTTAAAAAAATTATAATTTCCAAGTGTACAAGTAAAGATAATAATATAGAAAATTTACAGAAGGAATTGGACACGGATACTGGCTTGCCAGAGAACGAGCTCGATATCGACTTTGAGGAAACCCCGTTGGAGTCTGTAGGCGATTTAGAGGAAACCGAAGCCAAGCTGGACTTGGCTCCTGATCTATTGTTGTCAGATGTAGTTGAACAAAGCGAAAATTTGAACGATGGATCGGTCTGCGTAGAAACGTCGCAGCCTAGTTCTGAAATATCCGAGTTGGAATCTGCTGTTAAATTTCTCCAAGAGTCCGAGGAACAAGCCATCGATTCTCCGTTGGTGCTCTCGCCTAAACTGGTAGACAGCGTCGTGAACGACATAGCGAAACAGACGGATACGTCCTCTCTCTTTGTACCCGAGGAATTGTGCGAAGATCCGTCAGAATTGGTGGTAGAGCTTGAGAGTATCGCGACGGATTCGATTTCAATTTCAGAGGCTGAAATCATATCGGAAGCTGCGAAACTGGAGAGCGAGAGAAAGCTAGCGGAACAAGTTAAGCTTGACTCGATGGAAAAGCTCGAGACTGATGACGATAAACTAACCACAGACGAAGAAAAGATCAAGATATCCGAGACTGAAGTTAAGTTCGACGAGGACTCCGCGCGGAACGTTGAAACGCTACATTTTGGAAACAATAAGGTGCCTGATATTATACCAATGTTGTCCCAGAATATTCTCAAGGCGTCAGAGACTATCCCCAAGATCTCGATCTTGGAAGAACGTCTGAAGGAGCCTCCTAAAATAGAAATTCCAATCGCGGATATGACGAAAGTTTCGATGTCCCCGACAACTTCCAAGGACAGTCTCCTCATCTCGAAGGATGCGAAGTTGATCGCCTATCAGAAGATGTTGGAGTCGCCTAAGATGTCCGAGAGGTTGGAGCCGAAAATAACGGAAACGCCGCGAAAGGACTCGGAGAAGCACGACTTCGAGAACGTGGGCTCGCCAAGGATCATTTTGAAAATCGCAAAGTCAGCGATTACCGATTGCGGCGAGCCACGATCGCCAAAAAGTCCCAAGATCAGGTCAGCGGCCAATTCGCCTAATCCAGAGGACAGTCCTGGGCAGAAATTGGGAAAGATCAAACTGAAATTGTCGAAGGGTGGTCATCCATCCATAATATCCAACGAGAACATCGAAGACGCTGGTCAGTGGTACTCTGAAGGTTCTTTGTCTCCTATCGGTATGAAGATCAAATTGTCGAAATCTGGAGACGTGTCCATAGTCTCTTCAGAAAAACATGAAACTGACGATTCAAAGGAGCCTAAACACAAATTCGAGGAAGCCAAACGGACGGAATCGCCAATTGGAATGAAGATCAAGCTGTCGAAGAGCGGCGACGCATCCATAGTGCAGCAGGACGCAAAAGACACACAGTCAAAACACAAAGAGAAGCTGGACATGGTTCAGGGGAGTCCTAAGAGAACGGAATCACCGATTGGAATGAAGATCAAGTTGTCGAAGACCGGAGATGCATCGATAATTCAACCAGAGAGACACGATGCTCAGGAAGAGTACAGAGAGATGCAGTTGCGACCGAAGGATGCATCCTATGACTCTCCCAAGAGGACGGATTCTCCTATCGGGATGAAGATCAAGCTATCGAAGACTGGAGACGCCTCGATCGTTTCCCCGGACATGCCAGACGAAGGCAAAGAGTCGAGCAAGGCGAAGGAGAAAATGGACAATCCGTCTCCTGAAATTCCAAAGAGAACCGATTCCCCGATTGGAATGAAGATCAAGTTGGCCATGACGAAAGGTGGAGCTTCCATAATTCCAATGGAGAATGTAGAGGATACTAAAGAGAAACTAGAGATTCCAGATGTACCTAAGCGAACAGAATCACCGCTGGGGATGAGGTTTAAACTGTCCAAGAGCGGGGACGCATCTATCGTTCATTCGGAAGTCTCGGACGAGAATAAAGATACCAAACAAAAAGAGAAGCCAGAAGGCAAGGATAAAGTGGATACGCATCAAGATACGTTGAAGACGTCCGAAACGCCTTCCGTGATGAAAATAAAGGTGATAAAGTCGGGAGAGACGTCAATGGTCACTCATGAACCCAGCAAAGAATCCGAAGGTGTACATGAATCGTCGATTGGCATGAAAATCAAGCTCTCCAAATTTGGAGATCCGTCTATAGTGCCTTCGGAGAAGCAAGAGCAGTTGGAGGAGTCCAGGCTTCATCAAGAGGCGGCCAAGCGAACGGAGTCGCCCATTGGAATGAAGATCAAACTGTCCAAAACTGGCGATGCTTCCATCATACAGTCTGAAGTGTCCGAGGATATAAATAAAATGATGCGTGCCGACGCAGAGCACTCGAAAGCCGCCGACGCTGCTTTAGGGATGAAGATAAAACTGTTGAAGACTGGTGATGCCTCTATAGTGGACACAGAGAAGAAGGAGAGACAGCAGAAACGTCGAGACATTGAATCGCCTTTAGAGATGAAAATCAAGTTGTCCAAAACTGGCCATCCGACGATCGTGGCCTGCGATAATCACGGAGAACCTGCCCATAGGATGAAGGAAGCTTCGGAGCAGTCGCATGGTTTCTCTCACAGGTATAAAGAATCTGTGCAAGCTGCGCACAAAGAGCCTGCGATGAAGATCCTCAAGACCAGTCACCCCTCCATTCTGCAGAGCAATCGGTCAGAATTGACCATCGAGCCGGTGCAAATGTCAGGGAAGAAAGCGGAAGGCGCGTTAGAGATATCCCCTAAACGCAAGGACGTCACGATAGCGCCGATCGAAGCGAAGAAGTCCAAACTAGAGGCTCAGCTCACTCAAATCTTGCCAGAGGTCACTATTCAGCCTGTAGCGACTAGGGATCAGAAACAGTTCGTATTCGATACGAAAACAAGCGCGATCAGCCTTCAGCAAATGAACGTGATCAGCCAAGAGATCAGTATTACCCAGGTCAGACCTTTGAAGCCCTCGGAGACTTCCATGAGCGAGAAACTTAAAGACATCTTAGCCAAGAACACGACTGGTTCTCCGATGAATTCCGACTGCGAGATCATCGAGCATAGGCCAGAATTGATCATAGTGAACGAGAACTCGAACTCTAGCCAGGATGTTGTAATCATAGAGGAAGTTCCACCGACGAGAATGCCGGAGGTAAAGGTGCCCAAGAAGAGAGGTAGACCAAGAAGGAATCCGCTAGCCCAAACGACTGTTCATCCTCCGCCTCATTTGACGCTACCTAGGGATCCTTTGTCTCTGGAGGATCCGCATCAGATGCAACAACCACAAATCCCACGTTTCGAATCCAGGGAGAACGAGAGGCCTAGAAGGACTTGCAGGAGTCAGAAGAGCTATGCGCCCCCTAAAAGAGGTAGAGGACGTGGTTAGTATATTTTACAGAATAATGTTGTCTGAAAAATAGTAGTATGTATTTGAATATTACCATTTTATTGATATTTGTTTACGTTTGGTAGGTCGTGGAAAGCGAAAATTGGACAGCGTGGATCTTCAGATGATAAAGAAGCCTAGAATGGATCAAGATTTAACCGCGATAGAAGCTTCGACCACGGCTGTAATAACGATAGACGATCCTCCGATGCAGCAACAGCCCTTTGGTAAATCCCCAGAATTATACAAAGTTCTTAAGCAACCAGCGATGGACGCCAAGGTCAAAACATCCAGAGTCGAGAAGAAGGGTGTAGGACGAAAGAGCGACGAACGAAAGAATGCCAATGCAGCGAAGAATACTCTTCCAGATTCTACGACTATGCAGTTAGAAACAGGCAAAGTATCGGAAATGCATATGCAAGGGATCAGAGTACCGGAAGTAAGCAAAGAAGGACGATTAGAAACTTCTGAGATGATGCCTAGACCGATGACGAACGACTCTAAAGATAGCGTGAAAGATAAGAAGTTGTCAGAACCAAGCCCTGAAAAAGCAGGAAAAACCGCATTGAAGTCAGTTGGCGAGGAAAGATCTGATAAGACAACCGAGAATGTTAAGACGGAAAATAAAGAGACGTTAGTACCTCCAGAGCATTTGAATTGGTTAACGCCAACTTCGAAACGACCGGTAGAAAATGTGTCCACGGTACAGGTGATCGATGAGGAAACGAGAATGAGTGCGGAATCGGGCTCGAGATCTCAAACTCCGGCTAGGAATATTTCTGCACCAGGTATTGAATTAGTTATTGTACATATTATTCACATATTGCTTCATCTTACTTTTATGTACGCTACATAGATCGTATTTCATTTTGTATTTCTTATATTCATTCTTAGCAATACAAACGATACCACTGTAATTTTATATTCTGTTCGACCGTATTTAACACTCGCATTATTTACACTAAATTTAGAATATCAAAACACACAATAATTTGTATTCACTTTTATATTTACATACTATTACATGTTAACTGTACAAAAAATATTTTTTGTTGCATCTTTTAAAATGATAATTTATTCAGAGAAAGAACATAGTAGGAATATAGTAGAAAGTATGAACCATAGTCATTGTATGTCTAAAGTAAATCAAAAGATAAATGTATTGGTAGACCTCCAAGCAAGGTATCTATAAATAGATCTTTTCTTGTGTCCTAACATATCTCAGGTACCTAAATGTGAAATAGTTGTATTTAAATCAAACACAAAATGTGCTGTTACTTCGAATAATAATGGATGTGCATAGAATTTCGAAATCATGGTGGTCAGTATTATATTCCACAACAACATATATTTTCTTTTTAAATCTTAGATCTTTTGAAAACAGAAACATTGATTTTAAGTGTTAATTTTAATTGTGAATCGGTTGACATTTCTTGCCAACTTGTTGACAGTCTTTCTAACTCTAACTTATTTTACATATAATTTCTCTTTTCACTGTAATTTTAGATTTTAATTAAAATTGCTGCATGTCATAAAATTGTAGTTGGTTATGTCTTCGTACTCCACAAATTATGCTTCGGTGACATTTGTTTCAGCATCTGAAACTATAGTCAATGAGGAGTCTCAAGGAAGTGTACTTAGTACTGCAACTACAGAATCAGAAAAAGTGAAGGTGAAAAATCGAAGAATGGAAATTAATTTTGACCCAGATGAAGGGCCATTTACTGTCGATAAGATTGCTGAATACGAATGGCCACTTGATCGTAAAGGTGAAACCATCATGATACAGGAACAAATATCACAGTATCTTGGTGTTAAGTCTTTTAAGAGAAAGTATCCAGACTTGAAGCGCAGAGTGGTGGATATGGAAGAAAGAAATTATTTGAGAGAAAATGGATTGGTTAGCGAAGCAATGTGTGATATGGGTAAGATACTTTTTTATTACGTACAAATAATTGTACATCTTGGCCAATAATATCTATATTATGAGTATAGGATATATATAACATTTTTAATTTTTAAATTATTATCAGGTTTAACTGCTATTTGCAGTTCAGAAGTTTTAGATGTAATGTGCAGTGATTTTCCTGATCAGTATGAAGAATATAGAAAACATATGCGAGAAAAGCAGGTGAAAGAACATTCCAAGAAACAAAAAGAATTAACAGCAGCTGCAAATGCAGAGAAAAATAGAATCGATCTGGCAGAAATGGCAGTTCAATCTGCGTTATCTTGGAATATTAGTTTGAACAAAGCTCGCAGAGAGAATAGAAAATGTAGCTTAGATTTACAGACCTTTACAGTACACGTGCCAAAGAAGCAACAGAAAGTTGAAACTGAACGTAAAGTCGGACACTATCCCGTAGCTCTGATACCAGGTCAATACACAGATTATTATCGCGAATATACCCCAGCTGAATTGCGATATTACCCTTTGAATACCGTCCTCTACGGTCCTATGAGACCAAACGAACGTAAATTTGATAGTCAATCGGAAGGATCTCAGAGTGACAGTGACAGCGATTCGTCATCGGACGATTCAAGGTTCGTATCGTTTAGTTATTAATATTTTAATATTGTTTGTGGAAAGATAGTCGTCTATTTTGTATATAGTTCATCTTCTAGCGAGGGAACACAAGACACCGAAGGTTCTCAATCCACAATGGACGAAGTGGATATGGAGATCGTAAAGGAGGAAGTAAAATTAAAATGCAAAATGTGCTTAAAAGCTTTAAACAAACACAGCAAGAATGAATTATTAATACAATGTGGCACGTGCCACGGACATGGTAACTACTTTATTTTTTAATTTGTCCTCGTACTCTATAATATATTCGTGATGATAATTATAATATTCTCGTTATACAGTTCATCCGTCGTGTATAGACTTAACGTTAGACATGGTTCCTCACATTCAATCATACGCATGGCAATGTACTGACTGCAAAACTTGCGCCCAATGCCATGATCCCGCGGACGAAGATAAAATGCTCTTCTGTGATATGTGTGACAGAGGGTATGTTCTCTTATAAAAAATACAATACATAAATGTAATAATACATGTTGTAAGTGCGATTTCATGATATTTAATATTCTTCAGATATCATATATATTGTGTCGGACTTCGACGTGTACCCCAGGGGAGATGGCACTGTCAAGAATGTGCCGTTTGCGCGAATTGTAGTTCGAGAGAACCTGGAGGCATGAATTCTGACAGAAACAGTGTTGCTCAATGGCAACATGAATATAAAAAGGGTGACAAAAATACTCGTGTCTATGTCTCAACGCTATGCGTTCCGTGTTCAAAGTAAGTACACGCCAAGTTTGTCGTTTTATGGTGTACTGTACGAGTGAAAATGTAATTGAACCACGCATACTAAAATGCAATTCTTTAAATTTTCACGGGGCTTTAATTTTGCTTCACAATATCCTTGATCCACACTAAACTCCTCTTTCATAGAAACAAACTAATTTCACGTGCTCGCATACATCTGAATTCTTGGCTTCCGAACATTACATGTAATGCGATAATGAGATATCCAAGATAACTCGTCCAGGATTCAGAATATTATATTAGTTATCTCATGTTTAATTCTAGTATTATAATGAAACCTTATCCATCCATGTTCATTAACACCATGATATTTATGCAATAACAAGGCTATGGCGAAAGGGTCGCTATTGTCCGCACTGCAGTCGCTGTCATACTGCCCCAAGACTCGACCTGGAAGCGAATCTAGTGCATTGCAGCGCATGTGACAAATATCTGCACTTAGGTATTGACACAAATTCCATATAATTCTGCTACTTACTTTTCATTGCATGTCATCACATTTGCATGTCTCGACAAATATTCGTTTTGTGTCTTTTTTTTTTTTAAACTGTTTGAGCATTTGAAATACGTACGAGTATTTTCAGGTAGGTTAAGTCTTAAAAGTGGAAAACATGTTCAATTTTGTAATACACATATATACAAATTATTGTTAATAAAGCGAATTTTGTTGATGTCAATTTACAGGTTGCGTGGAGACCAAGGGAATGCTATTAGACCGGAAAAATTATCTGTGTGATTTCTGTGCACCAAATCGTCAACAAGTGGTGAAGCCATTAGTATCAAAAACATTGAGAACATAAAAGAACTGCAGACTGTACAATTCCATTTAATATCGAAAATTAAGAACTGTGTAAAATGTGAAAAGTGTGTGTAGAGAAATTTGATAAAATAGTAAATTTTTATTTGTACGGAGAGAGTGAATGCATCATAAAGATTCAAGTGCTTTAGTTATCGTGAAACATTTCGTATGAATCGCTGCGTGAAAGAAACGTGATTGTACATAATTGTATGATTATAAACAATTTGAGAAAGTGAAATTTTGTTACAAAACGATGGCTATTGTTAGTTGCGCATAAAACTTAAAATATAAAAAGTTTCAAACTAAATGTTATTGTAAAGTTTAATGATAATTTTCGAAAATTCCAATTCGTTTCTATAATTTCGAATCCTCTGTTATTCTGAAACTTGTAACGTATTATACCTTCCAATATTGATTTAAAATAAAACAAAATCAACTCTTTTCAAAAACAGATCGAGTTCATGATAGGTTAGTCTTATAATTTTATTATCGATACAGTTGCGAATTGCAATAAAAAAAACTAATAATTGAAAAGACTGCTTTACGGAATTCTATAAATTTAATAATAATCATGTTTAACCATTTTTTTTAAGTATACATAATTTGGTGTTATTCTTTTTTTTTTTTAAATATTCCTATGTATTATTTGCTTAAGTTTGTATTAGTTTTTGCGATTACTTACAAAAAGTTTAACAACTCCATAGTTTATTAGTCGTAGATTTTTTTAAAATCTGGAGATTAATTCGTACGTATGTATAAGGTAAGAAAGGAATGTAATCAAATACAAAACGGAGTAGCAATTTCTTAAAAATATATATCACTTTCTTTATTTTTCTTTTGCAATATAATCCTCGGAATAGTACTTTGTTGCGAGAGTTGGATACTTGCAAATATCTTTTTTTTTTTTACATATTTATAGTAACGCAGTATCCACGTCGTAAACAGTATGCTCCGTTATTCCTCGTATCATTAGAAATTCATATCATTCTTTAATATTCACACGTAACCGATAACCAATTGTTTTGTTTCAAACTAATTACATTTTATAATACACTGCAAGAATGTTTTACATGATTTAGCAATATATGTACAGAAAAAAGAGGATGACAGTATTAAAGTTATTTAAATTATGACCAAGTTGCAAAATACAGACTTTAGCGTATCGTTGCATGAATGTTATACTGTCAAGAGTATTCTAATACAATGCGTATCGTTTTTTTTTCCTTTTTCTTTTTGTACAAGATGTATCCCTAAAGCACAGATCAGTTATATGCAATATAACTACCGAGGATTTGCACAATACTTTTGCCAAATAGATATTTTTTGTTTTTATACATTTTTTGTAAAGCTACGTATCAGCGATACAAAGTTTGAATGACAACAGAATAATATCGGCAGCATTTCAAAAATGAAAGAGGACCATTTGTTGAGGAGTGCGCATTTCTGATTCTCTCCGTTTATAGTTTAATCTTTTTACCAACATTAAAAAGAACATAAATTAGAATATTCTCTTCATACCGATGATAAAATTTACAGCCTCCCTTAATACGTCTGATACGTAGTAAACACCTTCGTCTCTCTTTAAATCCAGTTTACCATTTGACCGCTACTATAAAAATGGCTGTGCACGCTTTCAAATTCTTTCATAAAATCACACACTTAACACTCCGCACGTGTCGTAAAATATGTGAAAAATAAAAAATAGCTTGAGCAAAAAACGAGGCGTAGCATACAGTACATGTTATGAAATGACATAACGTGCTTTACATTACGTAGAACACTTACACTAACGGGACAAAAAACGATTTAAAAATCCACGTCGATGTCCCGTTGACTAGCCGAATATAAATACACTATAGACAAGTGTCAAGTGAATTTCTGAGCAAACCCAATAAGCGCGACCAGTAGAAAAGGTGAAAATAACGTTTACATTCGAGCACCGATACTACTAAATAATTATCATTTAGAATATATATATAAAGTTTTACAACCATGGTCAACTTTCATATAGCCGTTAAATGTTTTCTTTTTTTTTTGTATACATATTAAAATCGATTTGTCATTAGCTCGTACTCATTGATTGAAATAATTTAAACGGCAAATAAAATCCCTTTATAATCCTTTAGTGACGCAGTAATGATTTTTTCTTCCTTTGTTTTTATAAATAATTGACAACGTAAAGATTGATGTTAGGCTTTACTCGTGTCTAATACCGCATATGGATAAAAAGGTACTGAAATTATGTAAGTGCGTCGCCGGTACGATGGTGGTAACTAAATTTCTCGTAGAAAATTTCGATAGCATGTCCTGGACGAAATTCGGTCCCGGCGAACTACCGACCTTGTAGAAGATCCGTAGATTACAGGTCGGATTCTCGGTTTGCGATCCTTTCGTGAGTTTGCACAATACGTACTCGAATGCCTCTGTCAGTTCGCTTACAGTCAGTTCTGTAGAGGGCAAATTTGTTTCCGTGGCTAAATTACCAGTCGAATTAGACGAACCTATTTAAAACACATTCTTCCTTATTTGTCTACAAAGAAAGCGAGTAGATGCATATTTATAAAAAATATGTACCGGTAGACATGTAACAGACAATCGCTGAAACATTATTCTCATAGTTCCATCTACGTCTTATTGCTACTTTGAAATTACCTACGCATCTTCCAGTCTCTTCATCTGTAAAAAAGAAAAGAAAACATTTTTGTGAGAGAATTGTCCAATAATTGTACTATATTTTCTTCTTGCTTTTTTTTTATCCACACTTACATTCGAACCTATTATTATCTCTATGAGCCCAAACGCACCATTCAACCTGTGCACCACGTGGAAGGTTCGGTACAACAATGTAGTCCACGATGGCGTTATTTGTTCGTTTCTCCCATTCCTTTCGTGCGTCTGGTATGTAACTAGAGTGGGTCAAAAAACAGATACCTTGTACAATGTCCCTGAGTTGCGTATTTGAGTCCATAGCTTTAACGATACGATCTATGTGCCGCAATGTCAATCGACATTGCCTTTTAATGTTCAAATCCAAAACGGTCATACTACCAGGCACCAAAGGTATCTGTCCAGCGACTGAGATAATATCGCCCACCTGACAAAATAATTTATACTATTACGGTAACTCTTAATTTAACGACAACCATAGCACTAATAAAGTTAATCAATCTACCGTTACTTCTAGATTTCTGAATATTTGGCAAAACAATGCTTGTCCGAAAATAAAAATTTATATTCGATAACCGACTAAGCATTTATTTAAACAAAATCGTAACGTCATAATAAATGCTTAATTGGCTATCGAAATTGAATTTTTATTTCTATATTTAAGCACAAGTTGAAGATACGCATAACTTGTCAGTAAACATAGCTTGTACGTTCATTTGTTACTTATTAAGTTCTTAATGTCTTAGTGTCATTCTAGAAAACTTTTATTTTGTTTACCTCACTGTTGTGTTTCTTTTGTAAACCAGATGTGTGTGCGTGCGCGTACAAATGCGCACATACACACATTTTGTCTACACATATTACACACAGAGACGCGCACGCTAATTCTTTTTTAACGGTAGTACACTCACACGAACAGCTTGAGAGTAAGGACCAATGTTCGCTGGTGCCCAATGACTTATGCTCTGAACATGCATTGTGTGTCGTTTATGAACTTTCTTATCACCGCAGTCTTGAGTTTCTTTATAGGCTATAGCGTCAAGTACAACGTGCACGTTTAACGGACATTCCACGCATACACGGACTGGTGGATTTATTTTGCTCAGACACGAGGTGTAAGCTTCGTTTATAGATACGTAATTCGACATGTCTTTTATATACAATGTTACGGCAACGATGTCCGATATTTGAAGACTCTCCTTCTTGACTAGACCTAGACAGTCGATACGAATGCCTTATCAATCTACATCGAGTACAGAGTGCATCGCTATTACATGAAAAAAAAAGCTTCAGGGATTATGCCACCTTCAGGACGAGAAACATCGAATTTGTTTAATTAAAACGATCAAATTTCGAAGATTGGTCGTGAAAATTTCATCCATAAAAAAAATTCATTTTAATCGGGAGTACAGTATTGTTATAAAAAATTGATGAATACCTACTGCTTTAACACCGCCAAGATGGCGTAACCCTTTTAATTCAGAGGTGGCTTAAAAGACTCAAAGTTTACCTACTGCTTAATTTCTCCAATGCTTCTCTCATCGCGGATTTCGCATCCGGATGTTTCCCAGCGACACCGCCAAACCAGAACCAGCCGGTTTGATTCTTATTTACTACCGGTATATCGGGATAATCTTCTTCTTCGTATAAAATTTCCATAGGACTCGGTGGATTGAACTGACCTGTATCATCATTGCGCGTTCCATTAACTTCCTATACGGGAAACTAAAATGCTTATAGTATCGTTTAAAATGAATACCAGAATTCGACGTTTTCAGATTACTATCTATACAATCGTGTTCATCGTTTTCGTCTTCCGATAGATTACAACCATCCTGCAATTCTGGACCAATGATTTCTGCGATGTAATCGGATGGTATTTTAATAGGAACATTTTTTAATCTCTCTTGCAGCGTTAATCTATCCAAGCCATCCTGAAAAAGTTTTCCCTTTGATTATTTACAAATTCATTTCAGATCCTCGGTGGAACAATATAACATTTCGACTAACATTCTTATCTTGTACGTGTATTTTTTTAAAGTTCAGATATCCGACTGGCGCTATGTTGTCGATCGAATGTACTACACTTTCATATTCGTCTCTAAAATGGAGAAGTATTCATAGGAAAAAATGTACCTAATTTCGTATAAATGTAAATAGTAAATCTTCAAACTTACATTACGATACTTTTACTAAATAATGGACAATCTAACGTGAACGTTTCATATTCCCCGCCTTCTCCACATACGTTTACACCATACTTTTCTTTCTGCAAAAAATGTTAAACGGATGGTATAAATTACGATTCTTTTACATAATTTAATATAGAGATAGGCAAAACTCTTATCTAGATACAAATTTTGAATAATGAACAAAAGAAATACATATCGATCTATTAATAAAAATTACAATTTCAATTGTAAAGTGAAATTGTATTTCACCTTGGACGAGAAAACGCGTATTTGAGTAACTGATCAATGGTGTAAATGTTCAGAACGATAGCATTTTCATTCGTCATTTATCATACGAATGAAAGTTTGCCCATTTCTGATTGAGCAATCTGTTTAATGCATGTATAATTTGTTTTGCAGATATTTCTTAAGAGTCCATTGATACTTGGAATATTGCCAATATTGGATAAAATTGAAGGAAATACTCAAACAGTTAATGTTTTGTGATAAATTAATCACCACGACGTTTTACTTACTATCTTGGCAAGATGGGGTTGCATTTCAGAAATCGATTTACCCAAATGCCTTGGTTCAAGGCCTAAAGCTGCCAC